TGTGTCTGAGTTTGGTTTGCGTTTAGGGTAAAGGCTAGGTGTGCAGTTTGTGTCTGAGTTTGGTTTGCGTTTAGGGTAAAGGCTAGATGTGCAGTTTGTGTCTGAGTTTGGTTTGCGTTTAGGGTAAAGGCTAGGTGTGCAGTTTGTGTCTGAGTTTGGTTTGCGTTTAGGGTAAAGGCTAGATGTGCAGTTTGTGTCTGAGTTTGGTTTGCGTTTAGGGTAAAGGCTAGGTGTGCAGTTTGTGTCTGAGTTTGGTTTGCGTTTAGTGTAAAGGCTAGGTGTGCAGTACCCCGTGAATACACATGACTTAAAATAAAGCTTGTTAAAAAGTGCACATGTCATGTCACATGACTTATATTATATAATCTCTGTCAAGTAAACTTTTGACACTTGTAATTGCACTCAATAGTTTAGAAAGTGGGGGCAGAGGAGAGGGAGGGAGGCTGTCCTTGACCCTTTTTAGGTGGTATTTTTCTTCCACTTTACATTATATATTTAAATGGCTTAGTTTTTATATGTGCTCTTGTTTGTTTCGTGGTGAAAGACAGGCACCACCCCTGGATGCCAAGAACTCAAGCAACTCCACTGCTTGTATTTGTAACAGGCACCACCCCTGGATGCCAAGAACTCAAGCAACTCCACTGCTTGTATTTGTAACAGGCACCACCCCTGGATGCCAAGAACTCAAGCAACTCCACTGCTTGTACTCAAGTAACATTCTACGCGTTATAAGTATTTTGGGTAAACGTTTAAAAAATCGGGTATGTTACGCTCCATTTATTTCACTAATTGTATCAAGTGACGCTCTATTTATTTCACTATTTTTGTCATGCGCCACTCCATTTATTGCACTAATTGTATCATGTGATGCTCCATTTATTTCACTAATTGTGTCCTGTGACTCTCTATTTATTTCACTATTTGCCTCATGTGAGAAAAATGAATAAAGAAAGGGGGAGATTGAGAGACGCCTGAGAAGGAGAGAGTGATAAAAAGGAAGGCGTCTGAGAAGGAGAGAGTGATAGAGAAGGAAGGCGTCTGAGAAGGAGAGAGTGATAAAAAGGAAGGCGTCTGAGAAGGAGAGAGTGATAGAGAAGGAGACATCAGTTATGCAGACGACGTGTTTACGTCATCTTTCCCCTTGAATGAACTCTAGCTGACCCCAAGCTTGGAAACGCATTTTAGGGTGTGGTTAAATAAAAATAGTCTCTTTGAGCCTGTTTACAAGTAAATAAAATCTATAGCATTTATTATTAGAATTTTGTAGAAAAGTCTAGACAAATCAGGAAAGGAAAACAATGTGTAGCTATCAGTAAAACAGACTATAAAAGGAAGTGTGGGAGATTTTGGGACATCACGATCACGATAGAGTTTTGCTATACGAGAAAGAGATTTTTTTTCTTACAAACATTTGATTTGTGGTTGTAAGAGTCCTTTTTCCGCCATTGTTCCTTTTATAACATTGTATATTCTTCAACATTGTACCGGTACAAGCAAATCATTATACTACAGGTCAATAGCTTTAATTTCATTTTTCATTTTGTAATTCATTTTTAACTTAATACAATTTATTGAGTGTTATTGGCCCTAGTTTGGCTATAGTTTTCTTTGTAATTGTATTTAACATAATAAATATGATATCGTCCTTTGATGTGTATTGTTTTATAACGAGCCATATACTTAAATAAGAGATGAATTTCTCCATACGGTTAACAGCTCGTAACACGTCTAAGAAGGAGAGAGTGATAGAGAGAGAGATGTCTAAGGAGGAGAGAGTGATAGAGAGGGAGATGTCTAAGAAGGAGAGAGTGATAGAGAGAGAGAAAGAGATGTCTAAGAAGGAGAGAGTGATAGAGAGGGAGATGTCTAAGAAGAAGAGAGTGATAGAGAGGGAGATGTCTAAGAAGAAGAGAGTGATAGAGAGGGAGATGTCTAAGAAGAAGAGAGTGATAGAGAGGGAGATGTCTAAGAAGAAGAGAGTGATAGAGAGGGAGATGTCTAAGAAGAAGAGAGTGATAGAGAGGGAGATGTCTAAGAAGAAGAGAGTGATAGAGAGGGAGATGTCTAAGAAGAAGAGAGTGATAGAGAGGGAGATGTCTAAGAAGAAGAGAGTGATAGAGAGGGAGATGTCTAAGAAGAAGAGAGTGATAGAGAGGGAGATGTCTAAGAAGAAGAGAGTGATAGAGAGGGAGATGTCTAAGAAGAAGAGAGTGATAGAGAGGGAGATGTCTAAGAAGAAGAGAGTGATAGAGAGGGAGATGTCTAAGAAGAAGAGAGTGATAGAGAGGGAGATGTCTAAGAAGAAGAGAGTGATAGAGAGGGAGATGTCTAAGAAGAAGAGAGTGATAGAGAGGGAGATGTCTAAGAAGAAGAGAGTGATAGAGAGGGAGATGTCTAAGAAGAAGAGAGTGATAGAGAGGGAGATGTCTAAGAAGAAGAGAGTGATAGAGAGGGAGATGTCTAAGAAGAAGAGAGTGATAGAGAGGGAGATGTCTAAGAAGAAGAGAGTGATAGAGAGGGAGATGTCTAAGAAGAAGAGAGTGATAGAGAGGGAGATGTCTAAGAAGGAGAGAGTGATAGAGAGAGAGAAAGAGATGTCTAAGGAGGAGAGAGTGATAGAGAGAGAAAGAGATGTCTAAGAAGGAGAGAGTGATAGAGAGAGAGAAAGAGATGTCTAAGAAGGAGAGAGTGATAGAGAGAGAGAGAAAGAGATGTCTAAGGAGGAGAGAGTGATAGAGAAAGCGATGTCTAAGAAGGAGAGAGTGATAGAGAGGGAGATGTCTAAGAAGAAGAGAGTGATAGAGAGGGAGATGTCTAAGAAGGAGAGAGTGATAGAGAGGGAGATGTCTAAGAAGGAGAGAGTGATAGAGAGGGAGATGTCTAAGAAGAAGAGAGTGATAGAGAGGGAGATGTCTAAGAAGAAGAGAGTGATAGAGAGGGAGATGTCTAAGAAGGAGAGAGTGATAGAGAGGGAGATGTCTAAGAAGAAGAGAGTGATAGAGAGGGAGATGTCTAAGAAGGAGAGAGTGATAGAGAGGGAGATGTCTAAGAAGGAGAGAGTGATAGAGAGGGAGATGTCTAAGAAGGAGAGAGTGATAGAGAGAGAGAAAGAGATGTCTAAGGAGGAGAGAGTGATAGAGAGAGAAAGAGATGTCTAAGAAGGAGAGAGTGATAGAGAGAGAGAGAAAGAGATGTCTAAGGAGGAGAGAGTGATAGAGAGAGAAAGAGATGTCTAAGAAGGAGAGAGTGATAGAGAGAGAAAGAGATGTCTAAGAAGGAGAGAGTGATATAGAGGGAGATGTCTAAGAAGGAGAGAGTGATAGAGAGAGAGAGAGACGTCTCTAAGAAGGAGAGAGTGATAGAGAGAGAGACGTCTCTAAGAAGGAGATAGTGATAGAGAGGGAGGCATCAGTGTTTATCAACCTTATCTCGGTACAATGATACAGGACAGTGACACGGTACAATGACACAGGACAGTGACACGGTACAATGACACAGGACAGTGACACGGTACAATGACACAGGACAGTGACACTGTACAATGACACAGGACAGTGACACGGTACAATGACACAGGACAGTGACATGGTACAATGACACAGGACAGTGACACGGTACAATGACACAGGACAGTGACACGGTACAATGACACAGGACAGTGACACGGTACAATGACACAGGACAGTGACACGGTACAATGACACAGGACAGTGACACGGTACAATGACACAGGAAAAGTGACACAGATCCAATCGCCGTGGGTTTTGTTTACAGTTTTGACTACCCTTAAAGTTGTGCCCTGGAATCTCGTTGGCCTCTGTTAAATCGTCTTCTTATAGCTCTGTTGAAGCATCTTCTTGTAGCTCTGTTGAAGCATCTTCTTGTAGCTCTGTTGAAGCATCTTCTTATAGCTCTGTTGAAGCATCTTCTTGTAGCTCTGTTGAAGCATCTTCTTGTAGCTCTGTTGAAGCATCTTCTTATAGCTCTGTTGAAGCATCTTCTTGTAGCTCTGTTGAAGCATCTTCTTGTAGCTCTGTTGAAGCATCTTCTTGTAGCTCTGTTGAAGCATCTTCTTATAGCTCTGTTGAAGCATCTTCTTGTACCTCAATTTAATGATATTCTTGTCACTTCTTATTCTCCCTCCCCAATGCCCAATATAATGGCCACTAGTAAT